AAAACACCAACACAAAAAATAAACCAAAACAAAACTTTGGCACATGGACAGAAATCCCTGGGATATCTAGCCAAGCCGAGTGATTGGCTTTTGTGGTCACTTCAAATATATAAAGAAATTACAGAAATACAGCTCATGATGATATGTGTAGATGGTTTTGTACAAACAGGGGTAAGAAGACATTTTCGTACAATACTAAGAGGATACGGCCTACAAAGGAAAAAAAAAAGTGCAACATCCTAATGATATAAAAGATAAACCACCTTTCTGTCTCGCAGAACTTGCCAGCCTTACACAATCACGCTTTTCCTTCCTCAGCTCCCTCCAATCTTTTAATAATCTGTTCCATCATCTTGGTACACCTGCTCCTCTTCCTGGTAGCCTTGGTAGCCCTCGTCTTGGTAATCTGGGATGTAGTCACGGGCGACACCAGCTCCATTTTCATCACCTGGAATCTCAGTGGCTTTGGGACAGTACTTGGCATCGTAGATCTGCCGTCCCAAGCCAAAGTTCTGCCCGCTCTGGTTAGCCCCGTCTCTGTATCCCATCTGTAGAGACATGGTGCTGTTGTCACACTTCTCTGTGCCCAGCTTCTGGTCGTAAATGGCACGCCTCGTTCCTGGAGCCGTCATCCCAGCCTGAAGTGGAGACAGGAAAAGGAAAACTGTCAGATTTTGTGGAATTCTCCCCAGCATCCCCCCCTTCCTCTCCTCCTGCTTGGCAAACACGAGACTGGCCCCAGACATTTGGCCACTGGGTTAAAGAATACATGTCATTCATCTAGAAAAGATCAGCAACACAGAGGATCTGTTGGGGAAATCAAATGCTACCCGGCAACCATTTATTTCCACTAACAGCAGCTGCCATGGTTTCAACAAACACAGAGCCATAATGTCATTAATGTACTCACTGTAACAAAATGACCATTTTTATAAACTGAGAATATACTTTGATGTCAAGCTATCCTTAATCTAGTATTCTGCTGATGTGTTCAAATTGTTTCCTTAGTCTGTGTTGTAATTTGTTATGGCAAAAATATAACAAAAGACTTTGCTCAGACAGAGACTGAGCTTTGCCTTTTAGATAATACAGGAGTTTACAGCTTTCTACAAGACCAAACATGACCGTAGTTTACAGCAGGCAAAGAAAGCCAAGGACAAGCCATAACCAGTGTCCCGAAGCTTATTTCTGCTGCAGTCCTTTAAGAATGCATACCTGACTCGCCCCTTTGTTTGTTCCCATCTGCAGACTGATGGTGGTGTTGTCCATGGGGGCCTGGACTGGAGCCTTGGGATCATATAAATGTCTCCTGGTGCCATATGCACTCATACCTGCCTGACTGGCACACTTATTGGTCCCCATCTGAAAAATAGAACAATCACTTGTTGTATATAAATGATCAACAGTCATACAAGATCAATAAAGAGTTTTGGTGTAAACTGTTGCACAACATCACTGCATTTCTCACATTTTATTGTTTTGAGCAAGTGTGGGACTGTTGATACTGGTGCAACACTAACCAAACGTGTTTTAAAAAGTTTTGACTAAGCTGTTCCTCATATTTGCACCGCTCTCAAATTACAGTCGAGGCATTTCTTCATTGCTTGAGAAGTGCTTGTGTTTACTTGATACCCTTCCAGGTAATGGAGGGGGAAGGAAAGAAAGCAGGGAGGTTTGAAGCATCAGTGACAATGTGCAGCTCTCGCACAGAAGAACGCTACTCAACATGAGATCATCATGACAAAGCCTTCTTTCACAACAGTTTCGCCACTTGCAGCAGTGAGTTCAGCTTTGCGAGCACGTAGCCTGCCTGTCAAAACGCAGCCAGAATGATCAGATCATTTAAAAAAATTCTTATTTCTAATTTTTTGATCTTTATATTTCAGAAGAAAAAAAAAAAAAAAAAAAAAAAAAAAAAAAAAAAAAAAAA